GTCTGCGCCATTTCAACACTCGCTGTCATCAACTGACTGAGTTTCATTCCCCTGTCTGGGCTCTGATCCCACATGAACTCAGCATATGTTGATCACACTTAGACTGTAGTCCTGATCAGATCTGCGAGAGGTTATCAAGCTCTTCTGTATTCCAGGAAGAGAAGCAGTCATGTGAGTTGTAAACACAGTCCCTTTGGCAAAGGTTGACGCGTGATTATCAGATCTTAAAGCTGTGAATCACTTTTTATAAAATGTTTCTTAAACTCTGTAGTTTTTCTTTTTAGATTAAAAACACAAAATCTACCAAAAGCTGCTGAAAGATTGGTTTCAATAACTTCCTGAATAAATCACCTCAAAACAAACAGTGATCAGATCTATGCTGTTAAACAGTGTTTTCCCAAGTTACTGTGTGTGTGTGTGTGTGTGTGTGTGTGTGTGTGTGTGTGTGTGTGTGTGTGTGTGTAAAAGAGGGAAAGAGGGAAAGAGAGAGAATATGTGTGTACTATTTACTTCATTTTGTGCTTGTTTCAAGTCTTGTTGGTAACTGTACTGACCTTCAGAGACCCCCACAGTCTCTACTTTGGGTGACCAGTGCTGTCCTGATTGGTTGGCTGAAACTGCAAGACTGACACTTTGTTTAACAGCACACCTACAGGCTAGCAGTCAGACCAGCTAATGAGACACTAAAACACCCTGAGACTAAAAAAAGACCCTGTGCCAGGCAGGTCCTCTCTGTTCTCACACACAGAAAACTGATAATACTGAATACAGACCTTCACTGTACCCCAGATAGTAGGCTTACCGTACCAATTTAATTGAATTCCATTTAACCAGTACAAGTCAAAAGACTGGACACACCTTCTAATTCAAGTTGTTTTTTTTCCCTACTTTACTATCGATCAAATGCTTAAAAAAGCATTGAAAGACACAAACCATACAATACGTATATTGTCAGTAAACCTTTTATTTAGAAATCATAGTTTGACACATACTTATTAGTTCATTTCACAGAAAAGCAGGACAATGATCTGCAAGGGATCTTCTTTCCATCAGGAAAAACCTGGTGAACCTTTGGTGTTCCAGGCACAGCTGTCGTGGGTTGAATGAGTTCATCATAGAGTTTCATTTCTTCATCTCTTACTTGAACAGTTGAATACTTTTGAGACTTTTCCCCGCTAGGTCACAGAGTGTTTCCCCAGTTGTAATGTCATTTCCTTGCAGAAGGAAAGAGAATGGCCCAATCCCAAATCGTCCCCTACACACTAGCCCTACACACTCCCCCTTTGTTTGCGTGTCCCTACGGAGGCTCCGCCATATTGAAGGCCGTCCCAAACCACAGAGTGAGGAGGGCGAGTGGATCATTCAGCCCTTAAATAGCGAGTCTGCTCCAATGCAGACTCACAGCAGGATTTGCAGGTAGTGCACCGGCAAAGATGGAGGAGGAAACAACATTCAAATGTGAGTTCCGCGTGTGTCCAGTATGTTTTTCGTGCTTTTTGTCATACTGACAGAAAATCACAAAAGACATGGTTTTGAAAGATCAAAAGAAACTCGGAAATCTTTCTGAGGTTTGATTTGATTGTCCAGACACATGTCAAGTGGTAAGGGCATTAAAGACTTGTTGAATCACTTACAATTAGAAGTATAATTCAGCTCCTGATTGTTGCTGGATTTGTGATTTCACAGGGACAATGGAAAAAACAAGGCAGCTAGTGTGGCTAAGAAGTGCACATGATGCACATTTTACAAAGTAGTAAGTATGGTAGTAAGTACCTGCCCTATAGTAATAAAGTTCATGTGTGTCGGTGTCAACTCTGTATTTAAAAGGGACAAAGTTAAAGTTAAAAGGGTCATATATTTTTCATTTTACAAGCAGTCAAACATTTCCTCCTTACTCCTTTTGTGCTTTAGGTTTTTGATCCAGGAGATGGGGCTTGAGGGAAAGGTAACCCCCAAACAAGCCTCCAAAAAGTGGGAAAATCTAAAGAAAAAATACAAGGTGAATAATTGTGTCTGTGGCCAGAAAATGATGTTGCTGCAGGGTGAGAGCTGACTTAACTTCACATCATCATCCCCAGGAACAGGGTCAGGTACAGACCAAGGGGAGGAGACGGCAAGTACCCGGCCCTACTATGCAGATCTCCACGAGGCCCTGGGCTCACGACCCTCTATCTCTCCCCCTGTTTTAATTTCGTCATGCCTGCCAGACCCCACCACACCCCCCCCCCCCCCCCCATATGCAGGTGACCATGCATCAACACACCGCCCCTGTCCTTCCCCTGTCACCATTAGCCCTCCCAGTCCAATGCTGTCTTCATCTGGTTCTTCACACGCTTCCTCAAATGCTCCTTTGCCTGCTCCTTCACCCGCTCCCTCAACTGCTCCTTCACCCACTCCCCCCTCAAATGCAACACGTTAAAAAAAGGCAGACACCATAATGAATTTCTTACCTGAAAAGGCAGAGAAGGAGGAGAGGCATCATTCTGAGCTAATGGCTACTATTTAACCTGTGAATTTTCCGATGCTTATATTTTTGTTTACGTTTCTTGTGAATTTTTGTCATGGACCAGCAGTTTTAAGTTATTCAGAAATAAAAACAGCGCGCTTAGCTGAGCGCACTGCCGTTATGTGGACTGGAGTACCCTGGGTGAGATAATCTGGTTTTTGTGAAATGGGACACACTACCCTTCGGAGGACTTCCTGGTTGAGTCGCCAAATGTCCCCGCCCTCAGGCTCGTGTCACGACTGACTTGAAGAAAAGCTGCGGAGCGCAGCAGTTATTTTTTAATTGTGCGACCTTGCACAGACACAAAACAGTAGATACATACAAGCACAGATCATTTCCACAAAATTCATCCAATGATTGCATGTTTTGTATGAAGGAGTATGAGGGCCATACAGAGAATTTTTTTAAAGACTTTAGATTTAGGTCTTGAATTTATGTGAATAAAGTCATTAATTTATGAGAATAAAGTCATAAGGTTACCTATTATTTCAAAGGGGAGATGTTAAAATTGGGGCCATGGAGCGTTTGAAGGGACTGTGCTTCAGTATCGGTTTCACAAACAAGGAGATACTTCGTCCTCTGGCACATGAGCATCACATTGTCACAAGTATAAAGACTTAAAAAAGAATGTATGAGAAATACATCTTTTCCACGGGAAAAAAACAGGTGGACTTGGAGGAAATCGCTGCTTTTGTGGAGGCAGAAATGAATATGCTGAGGATGAATCTGTCAATGCAGCCGTAAATATCTGTGAATGACATTGAGCTTTAGTTTATGATATGAATCCATATGCCATAATAAGGTGTTGGTGTCTCTGCAGGTGTAGGTTACCGCCAGTGTCAGAGACGTGGTGCTCGTCAGGGCTCGGATCCCTCTGAATCTCAAATGTTGATCATCAGTTGGATTGTTTCATCAGAAACCATCAAAAACTCTCTGAATGACCCGCTGATACATCCACAGAAAACCCTGCAGATGACCAGCTCCAGTCATTTCCCCCTCCACCAAAGCAGCTTTATGATTTATTTACTTTTATGACTTTATTTACTTGATGACTTTATTCTCCTAAGTTTACAACTTTAATCTCCAAGTCTTAAAAAAAAAAAAAAACTCAATGTGTCAATGATACTCTGCTATCACATATGCAATCATATTTCTTATTTCTAATGTTTTTTATTGTGGTAGCAGAGCCGATCAGTTCATCTCTTAGGACTATAATGTTTGGTTTGCAGATTTTAGTGAGTTCAGAGATCATGCGCTCATGCAGCCTGAGCGGACTGTTTTCAAATTCAAATTCAAATTTATTATATTTGTATAGCACTTTTCATACATAGGAGTAGCACAAAGTGCTTTACAGAATAATAAGATAAAAATAAGAATAAAAACCCCTCCCTCCCACGCCCACACACAGATACACGATCACACGCACACCCACCCACCCACCCACCCACAAACATACACACACAGGACAGTGCTTGGTTGTTTTGTTTTGCATTTCGTCATTTCGTCATGTCTTTTGTACCGAGGGTCCCGGTGAGGAAGAACGCATGAGGAGACACTGGAGCTAGGAACTAAAAGATTAAAACACATAAAATAATATTTTAGATAAAATCAGTTAAACGCTAGAAACTAAAAGATTAAAACAACTAAAAATAATGTTTTAAGTAAAATCAGTTAAACGCCAGACTAAAAAGGTGTGTCTTTAGCCTCTTTTTAAAAATATCAACAGTCTCTGCGGCCCTGAGGGTCTCTGGCAGGCTGTTCCACTGGTAAGGGCCATAGTGGCTGAAGGCAGCCTCACCGTGCATCTTTGTCGTGGTTAGTGGGACAGTTAAAAGACTGGTACCAGAGGACCTCAGGGTCCGCGAGGGCTGATATGCTAAAAGCAGGTCAGATAAATAAGACGGCCCATGACCATTAAGACATTTATAAACCAGCAAAAGAATCTTAAAATCGATCCTGAAGCAGACGGGGAGCCAATGCAGTGATTTCAAAACGGGTGTAATGTGCTCCCGCCCTCTGGTCCTGGTCAGCACACGAGCGGATGAGTTTTGTAGTAATTGTAAGCTACTAATGCTTTTTTTGGGAAGACCAGAGAGCAGGGCATTACAATAATCTAGGCAACTCGAAATAAAAGCATGCATGAGCACCTCCGTGCTGGCCTGAGATAGAAACGGGCGGACTCTGGCTATCTTCTTGAGATGGTAAAAACCTATCCTCGTGATGTTCTTAATGTGGGGAATAAAAGTTTCTCTCTCAGGCCTTCAGGACCAATGACTAAAACCTCTGTTTTATTCTGGTTGAGTTGGAGGAAATTATTTGCCATCCATGACTTAATATCTGAAATGCAGTTAAAAAGGGCATCAACTGGCCCTGTGTCATCAGGAGACACAGCAATGTACAACTGCGTATCATCAGCGTAACTATGGAAACTGATGCCGTGCCTCCTGATGACATCCCCCAAAGGAAGTGTGTAAAGATTAAAAAGAAGTGGGCCTAAAATTGACCCTTGGGGGACCCCACACTTAATTTTATGAGTTCTGGAGGAGCATGTATCCATATTTACAAAGAAAGATCGATCCATGAGATAGAAGTGGAACCACTTAAAAACGGTACCAGAGAGGCCAACCAAATGCTTCAGTCTGTTTAGTAAAATGTGATGGTCTACGGTATCAAAAGCAGCACTAAGATCCAGTAAGACCAAGACTGTTAGTTTTTTGGTATCTAAATTACATCTGGTGTCATTTAAAATCTTCAAAAGAGCCGTCTCGGTGCTGTGGTTCATCCTAAAGCCAGATTGAAATTTCTCAGAAATATTGTTTTTAGTTAAAAAATAATTCACTTGGTTAAAAACTACATTTTCTAAGATTTTACTTAAAAATGGTAGATTAGATACAGGCCTGTAGTTGTTAAAAACATTATGGTCTAGATTGCTCTTGTTCAGAAGGGGCTTCACCACCGCCATTTTATAGGCAGTGGGGAAGACACCCGTCTGAAGAGAGCAATTCACTATATTTAAAATCTGTTCCTCGAAGAATTCATAAAATGTCTTTAAAAGTGATGTGGGAATTGGATCTAAAAGGCAGGTTGTGGGGTTTACCTGGGAGAATACACCGGATGAGCGCACCCCGCTGTTGCCGCAAGTCCGGGGCCCCGAGCAGTCCCTTTGAGCCACCCGGGGCCGTGGACCCGCAGAGGCGGGCTTGTATTTATGGGAGTGATGACGTGAACTGATGTGTACTGGGATGGGATATTGAACAGTGTGGTCGTGGATGTGAACAGTAGGTCCATAGGGGGCAGTGTTGAGTGAAGTAGCACTGGGTGCTGCCGCGGAAGGTGAAGGTGAAGAGGTGTGGAAGGGGGTGTGTGGGGTAAACAATAGTCAATCACGTGTGGCAGATTGCACCGAGTGCTGCAAATTAGCAGCGAGCATGGTGCTGCCTAATTTGTTTGGGTGCACTCCGTCTGGCATGTATGCAGAGTAGCGATTCCAAAATAGATTAAAATTGTCAATAAAACCAACCTCATAGTCTCTGCAGGCGGAAAGCAGCCAGGTGTTGAGGCTGAGCAGACGGCTGAACCGCTCTGCTCCCCGGGCCAGTGTCGGGATTGGGCCGGAGATGAAGACGGCCTTCCCCGTGGTGCGCAGGAGCCTGAGCAGGTCTCTAAAATCAATTTTTAAGAGCTCGGACTGCTTGCGAGCAGTGTCATTGCATCCTACATGGACAACAACCTTGCTGACTGTACCGGGCAGGGAGCACAAGAGCCCCGGGAGTTCGTTTAAAATGACCGGTACAGTAGCACCTGGGAGGCAGCGAGTGACAGCGTTAAAAAAGCGGACATGCTTAATTGTGGAGTCACCCGCAATTAAGGTGGTGTGGGGGAAAAGAGGACGTGGAGGTGCTGGTGTTACCTTGATCCCATCGGGCTGGGACGGGGTTCCCTCCAGATGTTGCTGCGGCGCTTCGAGTGGTTGGAGGTTGCCGGCGAGGAGACACCTGCTCGGGCCTCGGTGGATGGAGCGCCGCCAGACACCGCCCCGGTGGAAACAGCGGCCCGCTCAGAGACAGCCGCCGGCTCTCTGGTCAGCGGGGGGAAATCCTCCAGGCTCAGGACCTCGTAGCGGTTGGACAGCTGGAGCTCACCGGGGAGTTGTGGACTGGTCCCGCCGGCCTTCCTCGCTGGAACGGAGGACCAGGGCACCTGTTGCGGGGTGAAACTACGCACTCTGTTCCTCGGGTGTGGTGTAAAGTCTAGAGCAGCAGCAGGCACGCGTTTGGGCTTTGCACCCAGCAGTAGCCAGCGGTCATCGGGTTGGAGATGTGGTGGGCCCCAGGCCGCCGGTCCGATTGAGGCTGGAGTATCCCCGGGGCCAGGGGAAGGCTGACAGACGGAGGCGGCCGGCGAGCCAGCATCCCAGACCGGGATGGTGGAGTCTAGCTCAGACTTAACAGGCGGACCGGCGCCAAACGTGATCACTGAGTCCAAGAGCTTTTCTTCATTCCGGATCCAGTGAAGGTCGGAGATACGGCGCTCGAGTTGTGCTATGGACCGTGATTTCTCAAGGCAGCCATCGCACCTGTGTGGAGAGGTGAGTGGAGACATTGTGGTGGCGGCCATCTTGCTTTCTCGTTTTGAGACCGAATTTGAAGCACGCTTAGCATTTCGTGCCAAATGGGACGCCGTTCGCGCCGCGTGATGACCTCACACATGCTTCAAATGCCCTGTTCAACGGTGCAGTCTCTGAAATGAGACACAGCCCTGGAGTGATGGGGGTTAAAACGCTCCTGGACCTGTCCATGGAGGGGCAGCTTGTAGGGGGTGATAATGGTGATTGGCTTTTCCAAGCAGGGATAGCCACCATCTGCAAGCAGATAGAAAGCAGGGGGCAGATAGAGGGCCTGATTGTAGATGGGGCTGTTTCAAAGAATTCTGGCATCATGGACAGATCCTGGATAGCCCACAAAAATGTCCAGAAATCTTCCTTTTGCGTCACAGATGGTCTGCAGCTGGACAGAATAGAACAATTTATAATCTAAACAGTCTGCCCGAAGCATATTTCCTGGTGGTTTTATACGGATGTGGCACCCATCAAGTGCACCAGCTGCACTGCCAAAGACTTGTGTTTGGCCAAGCCGGCAGAAGTCTTTGAATATTTTCGGTAGTTCCTCCGGTGAGGGCAAGGAAATCATGGTGTTGAGTTTCTCCTTGATCTCGCCTGCAACCCTGTGGATCATCTGGTGTACCCTGGACTTGGGGACCCCAAAGGCACGAGCCACCACAGATAGGGAAAGGCCATGTGCGAGACTGTAGAGGAAAATCAGGACCTCCAACTCCTTACCCCAGCCGTGATCCCATTGTTTAAAGATCAGCCTCCTTAAAAGTGCCAGACTGCCAGGTGAGCCTTAAGTCTTTTCAAGGCAGGCCTCAGGCACCTGTATGTCAGCAGAAGAGGCACAGCTGCATTGAGCTGTGTGTACAGAACTGTGACTTCCTGGGAAGAGAAGGGACATGCGTTGGTTTATGTAGGGTATGTATAACATTATTAGTTTGACTTCATCTATGCACATTTTGGTCTGTCATCACTGCAATGTGTCAGTGCCTCAGAATCACAATCAGCTTTATTGGCAAAGTTTGTGAACATATAGAAGAAATTGTACTTTTTTTCCCATCACTGGACAAATTAAACATAAATACAAACATATATAGACCTAATTTAGCAAACATATATACATACATACACACAGCAGACACCTATGTAGCATAATAATTAGCTAAAGATAATAGTGAAGCGATGTAGGTTCTTATTAAGCTTTTTGTGTGGGGTCAGTACTATAATGTAGTCCTCTTCGGGCAGCAGTGATTCTTGCGCCTCGCAGTCTGTCCCATAGCGCTACAGCCATGCACGACACTCCTGGTTGCCATAGCGACAAGTTCTTCTGTTTTCTGGAAGAACTTTCCAGAGTGGGGAGGGCATCTCATACTCGCCCGTCTTATTTATACCCTCCCCTTTTAATTGAGGTGCACTCCACAGCTGCAAGTGTGACTTAATTATGAGTGACACTCAGTAGTGAAGGGCGAGTGTGCAGGGGGCGGTTTGGGATTGGGCCAATGTCTGCTGTTTCTCTAACAGTTCCTCCTATTCCATCTGGTTCTCCCTTGCCATGAGAAGTGGCAAAGAAGTTTCAAGAGAATTCTTTAAAACCAAATCTTGAAGGAACATCACACAGAGGAGAGAGAAGATTCTTTGTTTTTATATCGTTTTCTCAGGCCAAAAGTGGATGGTATGAACATCCGAGAGGTGACCAGATGCAGCGCAAGATGGCGGACCCAAAGATAGAAAACCACATTTACAAAACGCAATAAGTTTCCGCATTACCTCCGATTGGCGGACCCAAAACAATTACTTCCGGTGGAAAGGCTTTCTCGTTGGCGGACTTCCGGCGCCGAAATACTTCAGGTAGTCGGATTTAGTCGCCGGATCCTTTTTTTTTTGCTCCGTTCATTCCATAAGAATCGAATTAAATTTATTATTGAGCTAAAAATCAAAATAAAACGTTTATGTATTAATTATGACAACTGTTTTGTTCTGATTTAATTCTGAAGTTTACAGTAATATGTATATATAGCCTGATGTCCTCATATTCTGATAATTTGTCAGAATAGGTAAATGTATGTAGAAGTTATCATCTTACTCAAATTCTTTTGTAAGAGTTTGCTACAAGTATGGACTGTTTTAACCTCTCGTTACACATCATATAACAGTGTTTTCTAACTTTTCTCTCCAATAGCTTTATTACACAGCACATCAATGTTTCTTAACTTCTCTGTGACCTTGTTTCTCCACTCCTATTAGGACCTCGTTTAATGTCAACAATGTTGCCCTGACCCTCACATATTTTCTGTTGTTCATAATTATGTTTTATGAGAGTGCTTATGTTGCTGCACAAATTTACTCCCCCCATCCTTTAGTAATATTGTGTAACCAGGAACATAATTTATGAAATGGTGTGCTTCCTGGTGAACCTCTTCAGGATTGCTTGACTGTGCAAAATCCAAGTATACAATAGTTGTAGAGACACAAGTCACATGATCTCTTTAAGGTTCAGAAGAGCCATATAGCAAAAACAATTGAATAGCGATATCATTACAGACTGTGTAAAGAAATGGGAAATTGTCATACAACTGCTTTGAAGATTTCTTTAATTTTTTCCAAACAAAATTGTGAACAGTAAAAGAATATATATATATACAAAATTCAGCACTGCCGTCGGTGTGGTGGGGGGCTTAAAACACGTTGCCACAGGCCATCATCAGCTCTGCTCTGAACCGGGTGATGCCATGCTCCTTCAGTGCTTTGATCAAAAGCTGAAAAACAGTCAAATAATGTGAACAATTGAAGTTATGCAGTATGGGTTAATTGTTGTTCTTGAGCTTTCCAAATGAATAAGAACAACCTCTTAACAATATCATCAATTTTCAAAGCAAGCTATATAGTTTGATCTACTCACCTCTGGGAGCATGACGTCAAAAACGAAATCAAGCAGATGAATCTCGCCTCTCTTTATTTTTTTAGAAATGTTTGTTGCCACCTCAATGAACCGCAGGAGCTCGAACATCTATTGAAGAAAAACACAGAAAGTAAACACCTTTCAAATGTAACACCCCTGAGAGTAAAAATACTCATGATGGATGGCATTTTTACTTACGCGCTGCTCACTCCAACTTAGTGTCCTTATCTTAAGATGCTGCTTTAGTCGGAGTGAGGTGGCGGGATTCCTCCAAAGGAACATTCTGTTGGAGCGGATCTTTCCAGACAGTAGATCATCGTGTAATGTCTGAAACCAAAGAGCAAGAGACAAAAATGTAATCATCTGAAAAAGAAACGGTGGCTTTAACAACTGATAGTGCATTCATAAGCAACCTTGATCTGTGTCTTAGAAAAGACAGCATGAATTCCTCAACTGTCAACAGCATCCTTGATCCTGCAGAGAAATAAGAAAAGAGCAAGCCCTCATTTTTTCATCCTTTGAGCCTCGTATTTTTGACTGATACTATGTTTCCTTGATAAATTATGTTATACCGAGGATGCTCAATGGAGTCCTCGCACCCGCAGTCAAACGGCTCCATTTCAATCCCAGCACAATCCTGATGCAGCCAGCCCCTGCACGTCTTGCACTGGACCCATTTTATGACGTTTACCTCAGGGTAAAGCAATCTGATCAAATGAGAGACAAACATAATATTAAACAAACACGCTGTCCAATTGATTATACCTCTGCAGCACATTTGAATGTATAAATAATTTTCCTGCATGATTCGTGCATTTAAACTATATGCAAAAGTGGTCACTTCATGGAAAATCACTGAATAGGCCCCGATAATTGCATTTATTAAATTGAGTCTGCAACACACCTCTCTCCTGTGTTGTTCGATGTCTGGTAGACACAGAATTGCATTGAATCTGCCATGCACATTCTTTGGACATCCGATACCGTCTGCGTCATGGTTTCCTTGACAAGGCAATTTGAAAAGTAACATCAATTACCAAATACATCGAGACAATGTTGATCCATACAACTGTGTGCATTTTGAAGGACTCCCACTGAGATAATACTGTTTTTACAAGGCAATTTTCTAACCTCTATGTCCTGCTGCTCTGCCTTCCTCTTTAGACTGAAGACCGGAGTATGCTTTCCAGCAATGAGCTCTTGACATTCTTTGGTCCAGTGGGCGAAGATTTTCCCACAACTGTAATGACAATATGTCTTTAAGTACAATACATTGATTGTCTTCCAGTTAATTAAGACATCTAGTTTACTTAAACTGTCTACCTGTTCAAAGAATTGTTCTCCAGGAGCAACAGGCACCACCATCGCCGCCAAACAGGCATGTCATGCTGAAATTGTTGTTTGTATTTCATTTTAGTGCACAATACAAAATACAATCTTGAGGATGACACTGCGTGTTGAAAAGTACTTACAACTGAGTAGTCAAACTGTGACTCCATAACGATGTACATGGCAGACTTAAAAAAAAAAAATTATGAGACAACATGTGAGATAACTTTAAAAAAGTCCATGTTGGAAAGTTATTCTAGATACAATATTTGTGCATTACAGCTCGTTATGACCTACCATCAACATGAATATGCCACAGTCTGAGCCGAAGTCCTGGCTGGGGAAGCCCTGATTTAACAAAAGCAAACGTTAATCATCTTGTCACATACGCTTTGTAGGAGCCAGATTGGGGTTTTGCAGTTTATTGTTATGTATTTTTTGTGCCAGCAGATGGTGCTATTGTGCCCGTCTATTTAATGGGTGGGTTGATTAGGAGAGGTGCGCACATAAAATGATGAATGAGTAAATAAATCAAAACAACAGAAAATGTGTGTGACATGTGACATTATTCCACCTGCGGGCACGCATCAACTCAAGCAAAAAGGTGTTCGCCACAAGTAACAGCATTGGAAAGCTGTTATACACTTTTCAACTGTAATATAGAGCATGCACAAATACCTCCAAATCTCTGCCCGTTTTCTCAGTCCATTGCCCAGGACATATCTTCTGCGCAATGTTCCTGTTAATTTGAGAGCGTCACTTAGATTTCCCATGATGGAAACAATGGAATGCAGGGTTAGGGTTAGTTTGAGTGGTCGGAGGTGAGATTGAATGAATGCGGACGGCTTGCTTCTTTTCAAACTTCCTGAGAGTTCTTCTTCTTCTGTAAATTTTGCCGTCAGAAAGTGTAGGTACATACCGCCACCTACTGTTCTGGCATCGCAAAGCAGAAGTTCAAAGTTCATGTTTTTGGGTCCGCCAATCGGAGGTAATGCGGAAACTTATTGCGTTTTGTAAATGTGGTTTTTTATCTTTGGGTCCGCCATCTTGGCGCTGCATCTGGGTACTCTTGGAACATCCTGGCACTTGGATTCAGTCACAGTGCAAAAGCCGGCCTTCTTGTGTATTACATGGGTCAATGACGTGACGCCTCAATATTCTGTCCGACTGTATTTTTTCGAAGTTAAATTTTTTTTTAAATGTTTTAAGATATACTATCTTTATGTAGTATCTCTCTAATATATGGAGCCACTTCAACTTTTCAAAAATCAGGATATTTTTGTAATTTTTTTTTACTTCAAAGGGTCAAAATATCATGTGGTGCGACCGTCCGGCCATGACTTCTGTTTTGAAAACTTCTTTGAAATTACTCTAAATCTATTACAATTAAGTTTCTGCAATATTCGGCATAATTTCCAAAGTGTTTTGTATTCCTGTACAAAATTGCAAAGCTTTTGCAGTTATATTTTTTTCATAATATACAAACGAATTTTGTCCGATCGTGTCAATTTCATTAAACATCATGTGGTGCGACCATCAAAGAATGATCACTTTTGGGACTTTTATTCTGAAATCTTCTCAAAGACAGGAAGTTACATCATCCACCATTTTGTCATAAAGCTGTGGAAGCAGAGAGAAGGTTTGTGGCTCTCTCACTTTTTCTAAAAAAATAACCTTTTTAACTGCTGTAATGGTGTTTGCACTTTTCGATGTCATGTGGTATGACCTCAAAAAAACAATTATTTTAAGTTATTTCCACAAATATGTACTTTTATTATAAATTTCATCGTGACCTTTTGTGGGAAGCTAGCTAGTTTTGTTCATGTGGCTAATCCTGTATCAGTAAGATTTGATTGAATTTGAAATGTCATGCGGTGCGACCAATCATCATGTGGTGCGACCACTGCAGATTGTTTTCTATCATAAATATATGCCCTCGATTGGCAGTATTTGTGATTTTTATATTCAATTGATGTTTGATAAACACTAAGTACTTAATTTTTAGTATTTTTTTTGTTATTTGATGGGTCATTTCGCTAATATTTCAGAAATAATGGTTAGTTCATCTTTGTACAATATAAGAAAAAAATATTAAAAGCATGCCATTTCACTTGGGTATTTATGCAGTTATTAGCAATTTATCAATTTTTATATATCTATTTAACTCATTTTAATTTATTTTCCCAGATGCCACTGTCAGGCAAAGTCAAAAGCGCTCGCCACAGGCAGCGCGTCAACTGTGACCCCGCAGCAAGAGCAGAGTACCTTGCCAGGAGAAGAGAAGGGTATGTTAAAAAATGTCGTATATATATGTAGATATTTTTCTGTGTTTTTCATTACCCGGAGGACATTTTTTTTTCTATCAACATGTTCATTTACTGTGATCTGTTAGTTGTGCAAAATAAAAATAGACTAGGGATTTATGGCATGGCACTATATTACATTCTTGTTTCAGCTACCAGAGAAGGAAACTGCAGGGGAAGATTCCGTATGTAAAATCAAGTGAGCTGCCAAAGAGAATGAAAAAGAAGCAGAGAGAGAAATGGAGAGCAGCATCCAGTGCTTACAGGGAAAGAAAAAAGATGGCAAATGCTGTGTTAGACCTTACACCACCATCCATGGAGAACATTCCACCAATTCTGGATGGTGTAGATGTTGCACAAGAACAGCCACAAGAGCAGCCAGAAAACACAGGTCAAGCTGTGGAAGACCCCATGCCTCTGAATGAGGATTTTAATCCACCGGTGTCCTCCACACCAGAGAGGAACAAAAAAAAGAATAGATCAGCAGAAAAATTTTGCAAAAAATTGCGGAGAGAAAAGCGTCAACTGAAAATGCAGGTCTTACATTTGAAGAAACAGCTAGCAAAGATGAGAAAACAAAGGGATAAATCAAGAAAGAGTGAGGAGAGGTTAATGGTAAAACAAATAGTAGGCCTACGTGAAAGATTCAGGCTAAGGGGGCACAAAAAAATGTCAGCAAAAAGAAAGCAAGCGGTTATCAATTTTCTGTCCAGAGATGAAAACAGCCGTCTTTTAGCAGGGAAAAAAGACACTATTACCAAACACAAACAGAAAATACAGCGAAGAGTTTTAACAAAGCCCTTGATTGAGTTCCATGCTCAGTATCAAACAGAGGTGGAACAGGATCTCTCCATGTCTTACTGACAATTTGTCAGGAGACGGCCTTTCTACATCACAGAGCCAAAGGCCAGAGACAGAGATACATGTGCGTGTGTTGAACATGAGAATCTCTGACTATTGATCAACAAACTTGCCAAGAGAGGGCTGTTGAAGACAACCAGCATCTCAGAATTATTGAATATGATTGTTTGTGACCCTAAAAACAAAGCATGTATGGATCGTGTATGCCCAAAGTGCTGCTTTGATGAAGTCCAACTACCTGAGACACCCTCTGCTGAAGTTTCGTGGGAACAATGGGAGCACAGGGACCATAGAAGATTTAAAAGTTCTATTCCACAAAAAGCTAGAATGTTTAGCCATACACCAGTTTAACTGGATCCATCAAACAGAGCAGTTCCGTACACTCAAACAAAATCTTACAGAAGCTGAAGCTGTGCTTCACATTGATTTTTCAGAAAACTACGCCTGCAAGATGAGCACAGAAGTACAGGCCTATCATTTTGGAGGCAGCAGAAAGCAGGCAACAATACACACTGCCGTTCTTTACACAGTGCATGGCACTAAATCATACACAACACTGTCAGACAGCCTCCGCCATGATGAGCGGGCAGTATGGGCACACCTGGAGCCCATACTGAAAGAGATTCGGGCAACCTACCCACAGATTATGACCCTACATGTCATCAGTGATGGACCTGTCACACAGTACAGGAACAAAGCCAACTTTTACCTCCTCAGTACTGTGGCTTTCCTTTCTGGGTTCAAGCACGTTTCATGGAACTATTCAGAAAAGTCCCATGGAAAGGGTGCCCCGGATGGTATCGGTGGTGCCGTGAAGAGGGATGCAAATCTCTATGTTCGTCGGGGAGGTGAGCTGCAGACCCCACTGGATTTGTATGAGATGCTGACGAAAAAATCCGGGTCAACTATTACTCATTACTGGGTAAACGAAGAGAGCATCCAGAAATATGATGAGCTGGTTCCAGAGAAATTGACGGCTGTGAAAGGAACCTTAAAAATACACCAGGTGTTGTCTTCACAAGCTGCACAAATCAGTCACAGGGAGGTTTCGTGCTTCTGCCAGCATGCAGAAATGAAGACATGCCTATGTTACCAGCCAGTGAAAGTAGATTTGAGGGACACCACCGACAATTCCCTAAGCACTCCTGAGCCACCAAAGAAACAACCTCCTCAAGACTTGAGTGGAAAGTTTGTCATAGTCACCTATGATGAACTTCCCTATGTAGGCCAGGTCCTTCAGGTCGTGGGAGAGGAAGTACAAGTTACCTCCATGCGACAGTCAGGAGATAATAACTTGTTTGTGTGGCCACAAGTGCCGGATATTATATATTATTACAAAAAAGATATTATCCATGTCATTGCAGAACCTGAGCGAGCAACCTCACACTACTCTAAGCTGACCAGCCAAGATTGGGCAAAGTTTACACAGGCCTGGGGTTAGAGGCACATACACACACACACACACACACACACACACACACACACACACAGTTATATTTTTATCAAACAATCCAAAAATGTTTATGAAATAAAATGTTTTTGTTCATGTTGTTCATACGGAGATTGGGCCAAATTCAGAACAGCAAAATTTTTGTATACATAACATCCTTAGTGTTTGAACTGTTGCAAAATATATTCTTATTTTTGGTATTTTAAAATTGGCATGTTGAAAAACCTTATACGTCATTGACCCACATACCAGTATGCAGATTGAGTTGGGGCAGGTTTTGACCAAAACATGATTGTCCTTCTGAGCTATAGTCAGCATGTACAATTACACTGGTTATTTATCTCTGGTCAAAAATCAGTCCACAGAATAAAAGAAGATCAAACACAAGTGTTGTTGTTGTCTTATTGAACAGCAGTTGCTCATACAACCTTATCAGTTCTGCTAGGTTGCCAGTATGCTGATTAAGTTTTGTGTTGTGGTAAGAATCACCTGCCCCTTGGCCTTTTACTCATTCCCACTGTTGCCACTCAACATTAATCAGGTGTCACTTTGCTAAAACAGAAGCTTGTTTGTAGAGACAGCAGAAGACTTGCTTCAGTTGGAGCTGATACATGACATGGACACAAAACTATCTTCAAGCTTGCTACTCTGAGTATTCCATTTTCTAGCACTAGAAGGGCCACAGAGCAGCCATTTAGCTTTACCCCCTTTAAGGGCCACGGGGCAGCTGATCGGCTGGAAGGCTTTTAGCTAATATCCTAAATCACCTGTGAACACTCATTTTGTTATGCAAACGAGGCGATTGCTGGCGCACCACAGGAGGGGACTGGACTAAGTGGTGTATGCAGTGGGAAGGGACAACATAAAGGAAGGGATCAACACACATGGCTTTTTTACATTTGTTGCTGATATTTATTGATTAAAAATAAACAAAATAAAAAAAAATGTATAGATTAAGAACAAGAATATGCATCATCAGGATACAGTGTTAGAGAGTGGCAGTGAGTGAGTGAGCACATTTCAGCAATCACACACAATCCTGGCACTGCCATGGTATCTCCCTTCTGCATTTCCCACATGTGTTGACTGCACATGTGTAGCAGTCAACACATCGCACAGTGGCATGATTGTTCTTACATTGATTTTTAACCTGGCACATGGCTCTTTGCCCAGGGCTGGAAGGTTGTTGCCAAAGCATTTCTTACTTTCGTGCCTTCTTCGCACCCACGAGAGTTAGCCAACTCTCTTGCAAGCTCCGCCAGGAAGTCCACCCGTCTCTCCTGCTTCCCGGTGCATGCTTGATACAGCGCATGTGCATTCAATGCTGCCATATCAATCATCTTATAGAACACAGCGACTGACCAGCGCCGTGTTCCTGTGTAGACAGTGTACTCCAGCACCATCTGGTCCATTACATCCACGCCGCACCTTGTAGTATTGTAAAGGGTGACAGTGTTTGGCTTCCTTTTGGTGGTATTCTCAGTCTGAACCACGCTGTGCATGCTGCTGAGAATGTAGACCGTCTTCTTCCGTTTGGGCGCATACACCGTTAGCATGGCTCCAGTGGTTGAAAACACCTGAGTGGTGAATTCATTGTGGTCCCTCTGTCTAGATGATTGTGAAATTTCACGGCGAATCTTGTTGACTGTGCCTAGGATGGTGATTTTCCACCTAAGCAGTTGTTGCGCAAGTGACATCAATGTGAAAAAATTGTCTGTGGTAACATTTCTGCCCTTGTCCAGGAATGGTTCCATCAGCCTCATAACTACATTCTCAGACAGTCTCTCCCCACTAGGACGACTGGGGTCCTTGCCAAGATATGGAAGGACATTGCAGATGTACTTGGATTTCAAGTCACAAGCCACCCAAAACTTGATCCCAAACTTGTCAAGTTTTGTTGCAATGTACTGCAGGAAACAGCAGCGGGTCTTTGACGGGAAAACCTGTTCGTCAATGGTGATGTGTCAACCAGGGTTGTAGGATGTGATGCAGTTGGGGACAAACGACGACCACACAGCAGAAATTGCAGCAATGAATGGGGGTGGTTGCAGTCACATGAGTCGTTATGGTCATTCTCACATTCACACTCTCAACATCTTCACCAGAGTAGAAAAAAGTAGTGTCATCTGCAAACAGTATGCAATTTAACAATTTGGATGCATTAACAATGTCATTGATATAAAGTATAAACAGTTTTGGTCCAAGAACCCACTCCTGGGGCACACCACAGGTTATATTTAGTAATCCAGATTTTACATCATTTATTTGTACGAACTGTCTGTGCAGTGGCTATGGCTGAAGCAGTTTCTGTCTACAGTTGTTGCCAGGTTGGAAACTCCCCTCCCCACCCCCTCTCCCCACAACTCAAGTTTCCTTGAAGCAACTCAGCATATCCCCTCCTGTGGTGTGCCAGCGATTGCCTCGTTTGCAAAACAAACTGAGTGTTCACAGGTGATTTAATACTAGCTAAAAGCCCTCCAGCTGATCAGCTGCCCTTTGGTCTTTATAGGTAGAACAAAAAAATGCTGGTCCTTCTAGTGCTAGACCTCGAGTATCAACTTTGCATTTTCATAGATTTGGCACTGACAGGTCCTCTGATCAGATGGCTGGGATGATGTGACACAAAATGGGTGAAAAGAGCAGAAAGATGAATAACTGAGCCTTGTTTTTCAATGTTACTTGATGAACTCTTTATGGAGGTTGATCATCGTATCTAAGAGCACCATTATTCCTTGTTTAGTGTAACATTGCCTTGCTTGTCAAAAGTCATACGGGCAGAAGTAGAAAATAAGGTTTGGACTGTTTGTGCAATTTTTAAGGGTAAGTTTGTCATGTTATGAATACAAAACAAAAAGGGAGGACCCAAATGCAGACTTAAAAATAAAGGGTAAATTTCACAAGAACTTAACAAGAAATTAAAAAATAAATAAATAAAAACCTTCCAAATGTCCAACTGAAAAATCAAATAAATGAGAAATGATTTGATTAATTAATTACAAAAACATTAAAACACAAACAAACAAACAAAAAAAAACAAAACAATGAAGCCAAATAAACAGTAGAACCAGAGGACAATGGGGGAAAGAGTATTAGAACTGGTAGGGACAACACACATTGACATCAACCAATAGAGACATACTTTGACACTGACATCTACTGACAATGAACTAACATCTGAGCGTATGCTACACAGGGACTAAACTGACAGTGTAACAATGAGCAACAAGGGGCAGGTAAGGCGCAAGGACACAGGCTCAGAAAATCACAAGGGAGAGAAAACACAGGAAGTAAAACTTGACGAGACATACAGGGATCAACTATTACAAAATAAAACAGGAAGTCAAACTAAACCAGACACACAAGGGCAAGGAACTACAAAATAAAACAGAAAACACTGACAGCTGATTGGAAGAATGAAACACTAAGAACACGAGGGAAACTGAAAACTCACAATTTCACATTGTGGAATAAAAGGATTTCTTCACTAAAGGGGAGTTAGGATTTCTGTTGTGTGCTCTTCTTTGTTTTGTGTTGTATGCACCAATTCTGCTTCCTTAATTTGCTGTTCTCTTCTTGGGCCTTCCTGAATTTGTTCTGTATTTTTATTTATTTATTTTTTATTTCTCCACACTGTCTCTGTCTTGTTTTGACTGCCTCTCTTTTTCCCCTGCAGCAGCATGCCTGTTTGTTAGGGCTAGTGTCTCATTTAAATCATCTGAGGGAATATCTGGGGATGTTGGTTGAGGTTTTCTTGCCTTTTCTAGCTATGCTTCCAACTCTTTATTCTTTTGCTCCTTTCACTTTTACTCAAGTCCATAATTCACTTTATTTGTCCTTTCTCTCTGTCTCTCTTGTCTTAGAAATACCTTCTTTTAAATCTGGCCACTGTTTCCTCTAGAATTTTTTCTCAGCACCCGGGGCAGGCTTTCTGGGGAGCCGTCGGTGTAAACACTGAATTTATTTATCTTTTACTTTGTATTTATTGAACAAAAAAATTAACATATTATGCAAAAAATAAAGAGAGAAAAAAAGGTTTAAAAACACTCACCATTTTTAGTGTGGTAGAGCCACGATTGGAACTGGCTCTTTTATTTAACCCATTTAGGTGGTCTTTACACGAGTACGAATTTGTAGGACACCGGTAAAATAAACTATCGATCTGGTGATATTGACACACGGAGATGCGTATTTGTCCATGACATCCATAGACTGTATATAAGATGGACAGAGTCTGCCTCCTCGCTGTGTGAAGCCACTCTGAGAACAGCACCCTCTGATGGTGGGCTGCAGTACAGGTCATAAATCCCGCCTCCGCCAGCAAAGCTTATGGGGCTGTGGACAAACTTTAGAAATTTATTACACAGAACATACATTTTTCTCCCCCCTGCTTGTGATGTTGACATGTAGTTATTGTAAGACTGGTTTGTACCCAAGTTCTTTTTTTCCTGTACAGCTCCGTTTTTAAAAGTTATTAGGGGGTTCATGTTTTCTATGATTGACACCTGGTACAGCCTATGGGCGTTCAGGGATTGCGTAGCTCACCTGGGGGGATACGCTGTTTGAGCCTAGCGTCATCACAGGGACTCTCGGCAACTGCGCGGCCGAATGCGCGCAGCGCTACTGCGCAGCACTGGTTTCAAGGAAGTGGAGAAAAACCCGGAATTACCGAGAGCTTTTTGGCTTCAAATCCGTATACAGGCGGAACCAGGTTGTCCATCTTATATACAGTCTATGATGACTTAGCATCTTTTTTGAAATGGGTCTGCAGGTGGATATTTGGGTATTCGTCTTTATGCCATAGTTGGTATAAATAGATAAGTCCGGAAAAGACGGTGACCTCATAGCACCCCTCCTCCTCCCTGCCCCCCAACCCATCTTGTCACATACACAGCAACAACAACCATGGCGGTAGCTGGGGTGATTTTGTTCTTGTTTCAGCAACTACAAATA